GGATAAACTGAGACCCATAGAGGTGCCTCTGTGTCAAAGTTGAACTGTTTGTGTGTGGCTCTATTTATTGTCCCTAAGTAGAAGGAAAATAGCCCACTTTTAATTAATGAGGAAAATGCTACTTGTACATTTACTTTGGCTTGGCTACAAAGCTGTGTAAATTTAATTTAGCTAAATAAATATTATTCTGTATGTCAAATTTAAGCCTATTTAAACCTGGCTCACTGGTTTGGCTTTCACCTGTAACCAATATACCTTGCTTGAAATCCATGTGAAAGTGCCCACAGAGGGATTTGTGATTTGTATTAACATTTTAATATTAGTTAAGCTGCTGCATCTTGTAGGTGTGGACCTCCCCTTAGTAGCCCCCATCAGTAAAAGTGACGTCTCTTGGGTTTACTGATGACGGTAGCCAACATTTAAAACTTGACTCTGTGCATCCCACTCTGTTCACACCTTTTGGTGCTTTTGCATAATACCACAAATGTACTGGCAGGGTATCCTGTGTATTTTAAAACCTAATGTATTACACCTGACCACATCTGCCTCAGGAGCTCACAACCTATACACTGGTTTTAAAGACTTCTATCAAGACAGTCTTGGAATAGTACCATCTCAAGACTTCCAAAATGTTGAACATAAAATGCAATTACACTGCACAAGAGTGCTAAGGAAAGCCATCTGCTCAAAGTAACTGTTTGTGTGAATGTGGTAGTCAGGGTGACAGCAAGACTTGGAAGAGACTCTGTGTCTTGTGGTTCAGTCCATCAGGGACTTCCAGCCTCTGGGCACATCACTGCAGTTGTTTCTGCTTCCCCTCAAAGTAGGAGTGGGCATCCCATACTGGTAGTGTTTAACAAAATAAAGCATTACAGGCCTGATACCATGACTTGGTTCATAAGGAATATTATGGTTTCATTTATTACCTAAATGAAGGGGGTCCTTTAGACAGAGCTACAAGCTCCGAGGGAACACTAAAGCTTCCTTCACATCCTTCACTCAGTCCTTACTGTTGCCCTGAAGTCACTTCCCAGCATGTGGGAAGTCCCCAGCAAGACTGGTAGTGGAGTCTGTCATTTCAAATGACCTGATTAAGAAATGGGAGTGGATAGAAGTCTGTGTCTTTAATAGACTCTGTTAACCACAGTAAACTCAGTAGGATTCATCGTTCCATTATGAGGCAAAAATGTATTTTTTTAGTTTTGTTATAGTATGCAACCATTTACTAACTGCGTGCTCTCATTGAGTGAGCTCTCTTTTTTCTATCCAGTTTTCCTGAATCCTCCTGAAACAGCTGGATGGCAATGAAATGGTTCGGAGTTACATTAGGAAGCACCTGGGGGCACAGATTCTCTAGTTTATCTTTATTTGGAAGTCCAACTGCTCCTTTGGCATTCAATTTTTTAATAGTAAACACTTATTCAAAAGTTTTTAATTATTTACATCTATTATATATATGTATTGTATGTATGATACATTTTTATATATACATATTATTATACATATGTACATGTACATTATATACATGTATTATTACACATGATTTTTTGTTTCTCATTTACTGAGCAATTGACTATCACAATCAAATAAATTAAATTATGTAGATGAAATTTTTAGTTATATTTTACTCATTCATCTCTAGAGGTGTGGTTGGGTACCATTGTGGCATGATGTAGACAAGACATTCATTGTTCTAGTAGAACAGCAGTGCTTAATCACATAAATAATGATGTAATGGTTGGGGTTGTTGGAGCTGCAGTAAAGAGATGTGATATCAGGTTTTGGCTCCGCTGTGGGTATATAGTTTAGCCCCAGTCAGCCAGTTCCTCCTCCAGTGGAAATGTTTTATGCTTCTCTTAGAAGCATTACATGAATAGGACTGTCTAATGGTCCAATAAGCTGTTGAAGGTAACATCAAGATCTAGGTATCTACTGCTTGAATAATTGTCATGTAGTTTTTTAAAATCTTGTGATTTTACATGGAGCATTATTTGTTCAATACCTATATGGCTGCCTTAACACTGTTCCCAACAGAAGACGAGGATGATACTCTCCTATGCTATGTATTATAAAGGATGGCAACACTAACAAAACAGAAACGGTAGATCAAGTCTCTTCCCTCCTATACTTCATGCTCAGCAGTTTTCAAGGGATAGGCAGAAAATGCAGTAGCTTTTCTCAATTCTGTTTTTTAAAGAGTTGACTAAAAAATATTTTTAAATAGCTAATGTAAAATTTATTTTCTTTTTCTCCTCTTAAAAAAAAAAAAAAAGTCTAAGTCTTGTGAAGTTGGAAGAGCTAGCTAGCTGGCTTTGTGAATAATCAAGCCAGTAATTTAAGCACTTAGAGAAGGATTTAGGGGTAGTCAAAAAGGGCAAACATGCCGAAAGTAGGATTCTAGCAAAAGTTAGGTGCCAAAGTACAAAGTTGTGATCTTGAAAAACACAGCTCAGCTGCTGGCTAACTCTCAAAACAAGTAAACCAAGCAAATCCTCTACTTTGTTTTTTTCCCTTTAAATACATAAGCAGTTTTGGGAAGAAAAACTGAACATGGGGTGACCCTGGCTCTTGTGTTGCTTGACCGGCAGGTTAGAGAGCCATGTACCTCCCTGTTATCTCTATCTACTCAACTTCGGATGGCTTCAGGGTTTGTGTGACTGCACAGCTTTAGCAGGAAGGGTTGAGGCTGCCCAGCCTAGTCCCAGACCTAACTGTTAGGATGCTTTCTGCTACAATGCCAAACATGGGTTAAAAACTAAAGACCACTGGATACCCACCTTCCCTTCTTTCTTAGGTGAGTGCTCTGGCTGCTTATTGTTGTGTGGAAAGAGTAGTTTTCCCCCAGTTCATTGCAAATAGGAGCTCTGCTCGATTCTTGGAAAGAACAGATGTGTGTTCCTTCAAGAGGGGGTTCCGTACCACCAAACTTGAGCAGAGGGAATTGCTTCCTTCCAGCTAGGAGGAAGGCATTGGCGAGGCAGGAGTAATGCTTGCAACCTCTCTGCTCATGTTTCCTGCTGGCTGACCTGGGCTGTTGAGGCATCGTGTGTACATGGACTTGTAGAAACTCCTTGCTCAGTGAGCTGTGCTTATTTCCTGCAAAATCCTTCTGTCAGCTTCATGGGAAAGTTTGTCATGTCTAAATCCTTTGTTGGATGGCAGCAGAACGAACCTGGCTGTAGGCACCCATCTAAAAACAATAGTGTCTTTGGTTGGATGGTACATTTTGAAGGTTTTCCAAGCAAAACACTGATGTGTGCTTAGAGCAGCGTAGGCCCTGCAAGACTCTGAAGCTGGGTCTATGGAGATTTACCTAGTGTGGGAGACTTTCCAGGCCCTGGCATGCAATACACTGTGCTGCTAAAGGATCCTTGAGCAGCCAGTGGTCTCCTAAGTGGATCTCAGGCGCAGGTGGGAGTTCACATAGGCCAACAATGGATAGCTTGCACATGGCGGCTCTGTTTTGGAGGTTGAGAGACTTCACAGGCCAACCTTTGCTAGTCAGCCTCAGCACCTGGGAGCTGCTCTGGGCATAGTCAGTAGTGTGAACCTAGCCTGAATGAGCAACATTTTTTTCTCTTTCTGGGAAGTGGAAGTTGTGTCAGGACACTTTGTCCCTGCCTTTTGCTGAGGAAGGAGCATGTCTGCTCATTCCATGAGTACGAGCTGGCTGGCTGAGGTGGCACCAGCAGGGCCAGCAAAGCTGCCGCTGCCTGGTGTCCTTTGGGTTGCTGCCACGCAGTGATGTTTACAGGGCTGCAAGCACACAAGGACCTAGCTCAGATCATTTTGTGCTTATTGTAACAGTAGCATTTAGAGGGCATCAGCATGGGTTATTGAAAAGGGTGAAGGATGCCACACCTATCAGGACTCTATTTACAATACGAGCTCTGTGATATGGTGCATTTGAAAAACTTCAGGGGGGAATTAAGGCACATGTGATGTATGGTTCTTTAGTGCTCTACATGACCAATGTTAAAAAGTTTTGTATGTGCAACAGCTTCTAAAAAGCAACTTCCAAAATTCCTTCATTCTTTTCCTTCAAGAACTGTTTTAACTCTACTCTTGGCTTTTTTTTTTTTTTCTAGAAAAGTTGCTGGGTGACCTTTGTTATTTTGTCACATTTCAAATGCTTGCTAGGGGTCAGGCAGTAGTGGGACTTGGTCACAGATAAGGCAATAAAATACTGATTTCTTCTTTAAAGAAGAAAAAATTATTACCTGAAAAATTTTTAAAAACTTGTAGCACAGTATTTTGTGCATCTTTCAGGTAAAAAGATGTTTGATAATTAAGTGCATAGTAGATGTATGGTATAATTTAGAAGTTTCTTTATGTGTTCAGATTTCTATGAGTGTACAGATGCCATAGGAAAATCTATTTAAAAAAGCTCTAGGGACTGATCTTAAGGTTCTTTGAGAAATTGCCTCCTATTTTAATGTTTGCTATGAACTTCATTAAACATTTTAAGTGGTTTGCACCAATTAAGACCATTAGCATTACCATGAACTGGTAACCTCAGGGAAAAAAGGGTTATGCTTAAAAACATAAAAGCAGGGTTATTAACAAAAACTGACTTATCAAGTGTAAATAAAATGACCTGAACAAAATGTGCGTCATTGTACATGCATGCCCTCATTTACCATCTGGATTCTGTTTTATGACCCTAGCTATGGCTTTATTTTGTCCTCATGGACAAACAATTGGACAACACTTAAAAACACAAGCTGGAACACAGGAAAAGCTTATAGCAGTCTTCACACGCTCTGTTATCTTGTGGGGAAAAAACGGTTTAGAGAAAAGATGAGTTGAACTGTAAACATTACATCCTGATGAATCTTCCATACAGTCATATAATTATAATTTCTTTTACCTTCTTCAGATTTTCCTTGAAGTCCAGCTAAGAATGCAACAAACAATGAAGTGAAAAAGCTGTGCAGCTGAAGAAGCATCCTTCTACTTGGTGAAAATGTCTCTCATTTTTTGACAACAATTAAAGGACAATGGGGTCAAACACACTTGGGAAGGCTGCAACCTTAGACGAGCTTTTGAACACTTGTATTGAGATGTTTGGTATGCTTTTTCAATATTATGCTTTGCTGTTCTTGTAATTCATCTGACAATATAACCCCTACTGTTCTCTGATTTAGCTGGTCTTTCCCCTGGCAAACAACATTTCTGTTCTGTAACATTTTCCATGTTTAATTTTGGCCCAGCATCTCACAGGCCAGAATTTTAATCATATGCACACTATATTACATTTTCTTAATATAGGTAATGCGCAATGGTGGGTATAGTGATTTTTGAAGTGCTGGCCTTCACCAAAAGAAGTGTTTATTTGAATTATTCAAGGAGCTATTTCTGGCATTGATCTTTGTCTTGAGTGGTTACACAGCTGCCTTTCTAACCAGACTTTTTTGAAAAGTTTTTTGAATCATCATGGAATAATTTGCAATAATATGATGTAAGGCTCATGTATTCTTTTTACTCTTATTAAAATGTGATATATCAGGTCAGAGGGAAAGAAGTGATGATATAGACCTTGATCCATAACACCATTAGTCATTACATATGTCACATTGCAACCAGATGACTTCATGGATGGGCCTAAATGCTTTGAAATGGGACCTTAATTCACAAAGCTACATTTAGAGTCCCTTGAAATGTAGGACAGCTTTTGGCTGGAATGAGGTATTAATTTTTTATGAGAAATGAGTATCTTAAGGTGAGAGAGATTAAATACTTGAGGAGCGTATATTACTCCTGAGTGTAGTGCATCTCCATATATCCATGTTTGTAGACCATCATCAAACCTGTTCTAAACATGTAACAAGAGGTAACAGGGCCCATATACATTATGTTGGAAATCACACCTCTCTTCCTTGTATACACACTCATGACAACTGTTGTCCAAGTGTGATTCCCATTTCATACGTGGATATCGTCTGCTGTCTTTTACAAGAGTGGCAGGCAGAGAATAATCTAAGATTGTAGATATTGAGGAGTACTGATGGGCAGCCAGCCTGCCAGGCAGTAACTTTTTCTGCAGTTTCAGTGGCTACACTGAAAGATGCAAAGGTCTGTACAGCAGCTGGAGATGGGACCCTGGGCACAGAAGTGAGGTACTGCTTTGACACTGAATTCCTGAGGCAGATCCCTTTTTTAATAATCTAATTGTTAACGTAAAGCTATAAAGTGCCAAAAAACCCAAATATTAGAAGTGGCTGTACATAAATCATCTCCCCACCCTTTTGGTGGACTAAATTTGGATTTGTTGTTTGGATTACTGGCAGTGCTTTAGTACAATGTTTAGCACAGTGCTGTCCATCCCCTATTTTCTAGCTGTGGCCTGTTATCTACACTGATTAATTTTTTTTTTTTTTTTTAATCTAGCACTAGTTAACATTAAAAGAACATTTGTGTTCTTTGTTTTTGTTTCCTACCTATTTGGTAGATAATGACCCAACATTTCCTTTTTCATTTTGATCCTTCCTCTCTGACTCCACTTCAAGAATAACAGCTCCTTTCTGTTCATTAATAATGTGGTTAACTCACTTCTTTCTCTTTTGCAGATGACAAAGGAAATCAGTGCTCCAGCCATTTGCCAAGAACCTTTCTTTTAATGCACCGGTGGTATTTGCCTTCCACAGAGCTGGCTGGCAAGCTTCTGGCCACATATCCTTTCAGGAAGACTTGCAAACTGACATTACAACATCAAAAGCAGATTGTTTCTGTGACTGAATGTAAAAATCTGTCAATTAATTAGTGACAAACAGGTTTTAGGGGCGAGACTTTTCAATCTAAAAGGTGAAAGTCTATGAGCTTCTTTCTGCTACTGGTTGTGGACATTTTTTCCATACGTACAAGTTTCTTGACGCATACTTTGAATTAACTTTGAATAAGTGGAAATATAATGCCAAGATAACTTTTCAAATGTGTAATGGCTGGCTTGCCTTGGAATAGTATGAACTTTCAGTGGTAGCTAAGCACCTGCGTGTCATTTATACCTCTTAAAGACCTCAGTAATCAGAAGTATTATCATATTTGGTTAGTCAAAACTGACAAGGAATTATTCAACAGAATATTCAGAATATTATCATAGAGGAGTGTTTGCTAGGGAAAAAAAACCAAAGTGTCAGCCAGGACAGTCTGTCCCCCTTAAGACGCTGTGAAAGTGAATGAAATATCAAAACATACTGTGCTTATCTCCAGAAGGAAAGCTTGATACTATGTTTCATACAGCTGGTCTAGCATCAGAGTATTCTGTGCCTAAGAACAGCATTACTGAGTAAAGGCATACAAAGCTTTCTTTAACTAACCTACTTACAGAGATGCCAATGGAGAGAACTGCAATGAATTCAGATTAAAAATCTGTTATTTCATGAGGTAAGCATGCTCCTGGTACTGTAGCATTTTGGTTTTATGCTTCTGTGAATACTATCAATGTAATTTCTTTTTATAAAGATTAAAACTAAACCATAGAAACATAAAGGAGGGTTTTGTGTTTGGTTGGTTGGGTTTTTTAACTTGATCTTCAGTCCATAGTAAAGAGTGAATTTCTGTGCTTTGAAAAAAAAATTGTTTACATTGAGCCATCCAGCCCTTAAGACACTTAAGCATATTGATCTAAAAAGCTCATTGAAAACTTGCACTACAACTTACCTGGTGTTTGAGTGTGACACCTTTTAGAGAAAGACTAGTTCAGTGCCACACAGAGAGTCACATTTTGCTTCAACATGTATATCTAGTGTGGTAGAGGAAGATTATCTCTTACCTGTCCATTTTAGCTCACGTAATCATGACATAATTTGTGATGACAGAAGTAAGTCAGTGATGACAAAGCTATTACAGGTTGAGTATATTCTGATCCTTGTCCTGACTGTCTCTGACCTTGTTTCTATGGGAAAATTTTCATGTGTTAGGCTGTGCTTGTGTAGGAACATTTATCTGTAAAATAGAAAGCATGAATTTTTAAGATAACATGATATAATCTACTTCCCTCAAACAAATGCTTTTTCTTTCTTCCTCTGGACGAAGTTCTATCACTGTGAAGAAAGGGAGTGAGGTATTGAAATCAGAAATCAGGACTGACAAATCCTTTTCTATACCCTCTTAAACAGCAGAGGAGACATCTCGTTTACAAGGTTATTGTGGTAAAACTGCCACCCAAATTCAAGTTTTAATTTTCATGGAATAATCTTTTCTGAGTAGATAAAATGTCTTACTTAGGCAAAGGATAAATGCAGGTGTCATTTAGGTATCCTCACAGCCTGAATCAGAACACATGTGTGTGCCTTTTCTGTGTGTCACCTGAGGCATCTCTTGAATTCCACGTTTCAATAGAATGCTGTTGTGTTGTGCTGTGGTGAGTTAGCTAATGGAAATTTGTGATACAGTGACTTCTGCCACTTCAGTGTCACAAATAATCACAGCAGCAAAAAGTTGGGGTAGTCCACTCTCTCTGCCCAAAAAACCATTTGGTCTGAAATATTTTTAAGTCCTGTTGAATAAAATGTGAGCGTATATATGCAGCCACTGAATGTTACACGTGAATCCCTGGGCATCTCTGAACTGCTCTCTGTGGATTTCAGATACTGGATTTTGGAGTTTCCTGCGGAGTTTAACTTGGATCTTGGGCTGATTCGTTTGACTGAAGAGTTTCAAGAAGTAGCCAGCCAGCTTGGATATGAGGATCACATCCATCTGATTGATATCTCTAGCATGTATGGATGTTATGAGCTTCAACATCTTCCTCTCCCTCTCTATAATAGGAGAATTCTAGTTCTGTGCAAAATATAAAAATGTTAAGGGCCATCTTGATCCTGAGAGAGCAAAGAGCAGTTACAAAGAAGCGGTGCTGTCTTCTAAATTTGAAGTTACTAAAAATTTGAAAATCTAGTTGTCACAGTAAAGAGAAGATTCTTATCTGTATGTAAGTTTTTTATGTAAATGGGAAAAAAGGAATCTTCCTCACAAAGCTAGTGTGATCCTTTAAGTGATCAACATGACTTTATTCCTGGAACTTTTCATACAGAATGACAAGCACTGCAGTGACTGGCATGTTGTATAAATACTACATTTTCTCAGGGAAGATTTTTTTTGTTCTCTCATCAATAGCCTGTTATTTTTTTTTAATGGCTTTCTGTGTACTATTTTTCCATTATTTAACTTGATAATCTTTGACATTCACATTTGTAGTTGCATTGCATCAGAATTATTACACTACTATTTCTTTGACACATTGATGTGAAAGTTACCTTTTAAACATCACCAGACAGGCTCTTATATCTCTCCTGATATTGTAGATTTTCTTTTAAAATATGGCATATGCATGGTGACTTTTCCTTTTTTAAAACTATAATAATAACCTGGAAGGACAGCACTGCTAATCTCATTGAAGGTTATAAGACTTCCTGCAAGAATAGTACCAGTGAAATCACATGAATATTGTCTCACAAATCTTAATTTTAAAATACTGCTAGCAATATCTTTCTGCTCTCTGAAATGCTTTTACTGTATATGGGTAGGAATTATTCCATTGTTTGCAGGGAAATTGTTTGCCTTTCTGTTCACTCACTTCTTACTGTTTTATTATCTGTTTGACTGACAGTTTCTGCTGTTTCGTTATTTCACGGACCTATGGTCTTACAGAGTAAAAATTAATCCTTGATGTTATTCAAGTATTTTTTTTATTCTGCATCAGAATTTGGTGTGACCTGTTCTTCTTGTACCCCAAGGCATTTATTAATTATGGCTTCCTGTATCACAGAGAAGAGTAGATTGTCCTTTTGCCCTGATAGAAACCTGCTATTATTTATTATTTATCGTTTGCAGTAGCATCTCTGAAACTCTTATTTTCTGCTATACAACTGAGTCTTACTCTGAGCGTTTACCATGTGCTGAATGACAGCGGTGAGAAAACTCATGATTTGTCTTTTGGTAATTTTATACTATGTGTGCAAACCGTGGGCTACACTCACATGTACCCAAACAGAAATTAGAATTTTATCTATTTTCTGTTGCAGTCCTTCCTATGACTGGATGAGAAGAGTCACACAGAGAAAGAGGATTTCCAAGAAAGGAAAAGCCTGTCTGCTGTTTGACCATCTGGAGCCCATTGAGCTAGCTGAACATCTCACTTTTCTGGAGCATAAATCTTTTAGGAGGATTTCTGTAAGAAATCTACAACTTTGTCACTTGCAGTTAGGTGCCTGTCCTTAAAGAGTATTTACGTGGTTTAACATTTATGACATTTCCCCACAATGTTTTAGTGTAGTGAATATTTGTAAACCTTCATATGATGTACATAGCCTTGGCTGCATCAGCCCTTCCTCGATTTTTTTTGTGACTGATGCTTTTAGTGACAGAATTTAGTTTTGTGCAGGAATTCTTGGCAGAAATTACTGCTAAAAGCTTCTGCAGCCATGTGTTGCAGCAACTGATTAAACTAATATTGTTCAAAGACTTCAGGTTTTTTTGTTTGTTTGTTTGTTTTTCATTTGAGGAAAATAGTTACTACTTTGCAGGAAACATCAAAGTCTTTACAATGACTAATTTTTTAAAAGACTGAAATATATGTAGTTCTTCTGTAGTCTCTGTTTGCTCCCAACCACTTCTTCAGAAATTGTCCTTTCATTTGCCAATTTAGGATCACAAGGTAATTCAGGTTGGAAGGGGTATCAGGAGACCTATAGGCCAACCTCCTGCCCAAAGCAGGGTCAGCTCTGTGACAGGTCATGTTCCTTAGGCACTTAACTAGTTGAGTCTTGAAAACCTTCAAGAATAGAGACAGCACAACTTCTCTTTCCTCCTTCTCCTATGTTGACATTAAGGAAAAATCATATGCAGTGGCTTCTTTTTACAGAGGATTGTACATGAACAGGAGACAAAAGTGGATGAAAATTAAATTAGAAGCTAAAGCAAAACAAAAGAATAATCCAAATGCAAAAAGAAATGCTGATTTCTGTTGGCAGATATCCATATGAAAATGTCACATGATGCCACTGTATCTGGTGGCAAATGGAAGCAGTAATTTCTCAAGATGACAAGTTCTCTTCAGGAAAAAAAAAAAAGAGACTTTTTAAAAAGTGTTTAGGAGCATGAAAGAACTCAAACTCCAGAACTAAGAAAAATATATGAGGGTTTTTTTTTGTTTGTTTCAAGAGAGGAAGGAAAAAGAGAGCAATGAGAAGCTGAGACCAGTCTAAACAGACTTGCTTTTGATGTCATTTAATAATATTCAAAGATTTAATACTCTAGACTTCAAATCATAGGAAAACACCCTACTGTGATGTCTGCAACTCTAACCTCAAAGAAGGAAGGTGGACAAGAAAATAAGGATGGATTTCTAACTAGACTTAAGATATGTTTTAATTCCTTTGGGAATTCCAGGAATAAAACCCAGATCTGCAGTGAATATTCTTTTTTCTTTGCTGTGTCTGTTTTGTCTGTTAATTCTTCCGCTTGAATTTTGCTATATCAGATGCTTCTCTGCAACCAATTAGAGTTAATTAATCTTGTATTACCCTACAATGCAATGATGTGGTTTGAAAGATGTGCTGTTTATGTGAAACCAAAAAGTTGTAAGAACAGTACATTTCCAACGGAAATAAAGTGAAGGGCATGCCTCAAAACACAGAGGTTGAAAAACAAGCTCAGTTTTGCTAATCTAATATAAAGAACAAGTGAGAACTGCTACAGAGAAACAACTAGCATTTATTTGGAGATGTCAGTGAGACCAGGTGATTTGCTGTAAACTGTTTAGAGATGTAAGAGTGACACCTAATCTTGCAAGGTGGACAAAGGTGTTATCTCTAAGCTATCTATTTGTAAAAGATGACGTCTGAATCCTGTCCTCTGGCTTTACCTATTTTTAAAAATGTGGAGGAGAAGGAAAGTTGTTGTTAACTGTAACAGAAAACATTAAAAAATATCTGAACACTGAGATTTGTTTATCTGCAGCTCTGAGACAAACGTCTGCTGTGTAAGAGCATATGTCATCATATGGCCTTTTAGCAGGCAATTTTTTGATCAGCTAAAACCAAGAAACCCATGTTGGCTGGCATTGCTATCAACTCCATGCACTAGCTAAAGTTAGGTCCTAAGCTTCTGAAAATCCACCTTAAAGGGACATCTGAAAAATGTTTTCCAGACATTTAGGGAAATGTAATTCTTGAGAGCAGCAACTCTCCCAGGTAGAACTATGTCCATGAACATACAGGGACTGAACAACAACATCAAAAGAAGCAAGATTTAGCAGAATTAGCTCCTTGTACTACAGATTTTTTTTTTTTTTTACAAAAGAGGAAGAAAATGAATGCATAGTTAGCTTCTTGGGACACAGTTCAAGCTCTTATGAAGAGTAACAGCTCCCTACCAATGTCAGTGAGACCAAGATTTACATCTTTACATCAACAATGCAATTGGTCAGGATATGGAAGTGGGATGAAAGCTCTTATTTATATGCTTCTTGTTTGTAGCACTAGATAATTCCTATAGAGTATCATGCCATGAGATTATGCATAAAACATTATAAGTATTGAGTAAATCATGGGAAAGATGATTCCACAGATGTAATAATCCTGCTCGTCATGCATGCTGCAGTATTACCTCACACACAAACACTCAAGTTTTCAGTTACCATTTAAGTAACAAAAAACAACACAACAGCAAAATTTTAGGAAAGGTCTGATGTGCAGCAGGGTCTGCTGACCCTGAGTCTTGCTCACTTTCTAAACAAAAGGAGCTTTAAAAGGGAAAAAAAAAAAATTATCAGAGCTTCAGTTTGATTCTTCAGTTGTCCACCATTTACTGAAAATGCCTTTCCTCTGTTAGTTCACAGACTACCAAAGCTATGTGATCCACGGCTGCTTGGAGAACAACCCTACTTTGGAGAGATCTATTGCTTTATTTAATGGTATCTCCAAATGGGTCCAGCTTATGGTTCTCAGCAAACCAACACCCCAGCAAAGGGCAGAAGTAATTACAAAGTTTATCAATGTTGCACAGGTAAGTTCTGAGTCTTTTTCCTCCAGTATAAAGCAACAATAGAAAGACTGCAGTAAACAAATGAACTGGATGCTCTTTGTGTTGTTTCCTCAGTGAATAGTGTGTTCAGCATCACTGCAGGTTATTTGATAAGGTGTGGTACATCTACAGACATACGTATAGACATAACTATAAAATAATTTGTCTTTGCTGTATTCTGGCTGACAACAGTCACTATGGTGTGGAGCTAAGCTAATAAAAAAAAAAAGAAATGTTGAACCATTCTATGTCCTCTGGTTTAGTGATTTCCGCTGTAGCAGTAATAGGTTGCCTCCTTTTGCTTCTCATGTGTGACACTGGATAGCAGCCACATGTATTTCCTTGATTTTTTTTTAATTATGTATGATCAATCTCTCCTGCAGAAGCTCCTTCACCTCCAGAACTTCAACACACTGATGGCTGTTGTGGGAGGTCTAAGCCACAGCTCTATTTCTCGCCTAAAAGAAACTCACTCTCATCTGTCTTCAGAGGTCACAAAGGTATGGTGGATGCCAGAATATAGACATATTGAGCAGAATATCATCTCTTTGTTGTCTGATGGGTTCTGCAGTGTAGGTGTCTCACCAGCACAATATTTGGATCATGGCAGGGTGTCCGAAATGGCACTTTGTTTATGTTCCTCTTGGTGGAGAAGGATCAGCTCATGGCGATCTTCTGTTTGATTACCTGTGCTAGAGAGGAAATTAGCACTGCTGACACCCTGACTTGAGTTGTGCTCATTTAAAACAGATTAAGGAAATGTTCTGAATGCTTTCACAGGGGCTTGCTTCTCTGGCTCTTTGTAGGACTGGAACGAAATGACAGAGCTGGTCTCTTCCAATGGAAACTACTGCAACTACCGCAAGTCTTTTGCTGACTGTATTGGCTTCAAAATTCCTATTTTAGGAGTTCATTTGAAGGACTTGATTGCTGTTCATGTGATTTTTCCTGACTGGATAGATGAGAACAAAGTTAACATAGTGAAAATGCAACAACTTTCCATCACCTTGAGTGAACTGGTTTCCCTGCAAACTGCCTCCCATCATTTAGAGCCTAATATGGATTTAATTAACCTGCTAACCGTAAGTCCTGAGCATGTTTCAATTCACTTCATTTATTCAGGTGTTGAACGTCAGTAGAAATATTCATATCTGTAGAGATAAGTGCACTTTATTATTGCAGTTTTGTAAAAGAAAAGGGAGAGAATACAAAACAGAAACAAATTCGCATGAGGTACGAATAAAGACAAAGAGAGCTTTATTACCATAGTACGTATGCCTGAGGGCAGCAACAGGATTGTCATCAATTATTTATTTAAAAGATAACAGAAAGATGACTGTATTTGTGTTAGAAGTCAAAACTGAGTTCTGACTACTTAGAATTGAGGTTTATGTCTCCTTTGCAAAGATCGGGTGATGTGTTGTCATAGACAAGTGAAATTTCACCATGGCTCCCACTTTTCTTACTCCCCTGTGGTTTGTGTGTGACAGGGTAGTCTTTCTATCTAGCAAACAAAAATGCTCTTGAATGGTGCTAAAGACCCCCTGCAACCTCTGCCCTTTCCCCTCCTCTTAACCCTTGGCAATGGCTACATTTGAGGAGGTCTGAAATTTGCACACATAAATTACAGATGAGCATTTGAGTGTCCTACTTCAAATCAAAGGAAAGTGAGATTTCAGAAAGACTGAACAAAATATTTTCTTAAAAAAAGCTGCCAGTGATAATGCTAAAAGGAATTAATTTTCAGTCCCCTTTTTAACGTGTAAATAACTGTTCTTTTAAGAAATACTACACTTATTTCAAAACACTCTGGAACGTGAACCACCAGGCCAAATCGTGTTTCTATGGACATTTAGTCCTTTCAGCATTGATCTTAACTGTAGCAGTGTTTGACCCAGCACCACAGTGTTTTTAGGTCATGGGCAAAAACAAGTGTCTTGGAGTTAAAGATAGAACCTGTCAAACTTGAAAAAATAAATGTTGTTTGTTATAAACCAGTTGATGTTGCAAGCAAAAAAAGCCATCTACTCATCTGAGAGTAGTCTGAAATATGTCACATTAGGTAAAGAACTCTCTTAAAATGTAGTCATTTTATGCTGTTTCTGCTCTTGTTATTTAACTTTGTCTTTCAGATCTCTAATCTAGACAGAAAGACAAAACCTTGTTCTCCTTAAATCAATAGAGTTATTTAAATAATAAACTTAGAAGTAAGCAAGGTCTGTGTGTAACTAAGGCAGCTTTCAGAATTTTTCCAGTGTTTATATTGTTGGGTAACATGAACATAGAATATTCTGCCTGGGGAGGTGGGAACCATATTCCAGCTTTTCCTCAGTCAGGTCACAGACTTGAGGTGACTCATTACCTAGCTTCTTCTAGGTAAATGCCTGAACTGGAGGGATATTAGGCAGGAGCTTTGGAGTTTTTTCCTTTTGTGCTTTATTTGAAAACATTAAAAAATATGCAAAGCTAGAAATTAAGCATTAAGAAATTAGAAATTAAGGTTGTAGTCTGTGGTGGCTTTATGCTGGGACTGATCAGGTACAGGGGTTTACACGATGGAGGCTGACAAATATGAGCCTAAGTCTGAAGCAACCGAGACAGTGTGGATACACCTGTGGCTTCATTGTAATGAGGAATGTGAAATTTTGGGGAACCAGGAAAAGCTTCTCCTATTGCACTTTGTATGGAGCAATCTGATTGTGACTAGTGGGACAGGGAGGAGAAGGGACCATGTAGTGCCCACTGCAACACCCTAATTAAAACATTAGACTATAAAGGTAGATATTTATTAACTTTTTTTGTTTTAGTAGGGATTGAGAGCTGCTTTCTTCTCTCATGACACTCT